TTTTTTTGGGACAGTCTTGCTCTGTCACCAGGCTGGAATGCAGTGGTGTGATCTCAGCTCACGACAACCTCCACCTCCCGAGTTCAAGTGATTCTCCTGCTTCAGTCTCCCGAGCAGCTGGGACTACAGGCACGCACCACTATGCCTGGCTAATTTTTGTATTTTTTAGTAGAGATGGGGTTTTTACCATGTTGAGCAGGCTGGTCTTGAACTCCTGGCCTCAGGAGATCCACTTGCCTTAGCCTCCCAAAGTGCTACAGGCATGAGCCACTGCACCTAGCCTAGGCTACTCATTTCTAAAAAGAAAATCGGAAAAATGTGAGGAACTGTGATGATTTAGAACCTGAGATTACACGAACATTTCAAGTAAAAGGGGAAAAAAAATCAACAAATGTTCAGCTAGAAATAAGTTATTTTATTTTAGAACACATACAGATTAATAAATATTACTGGAAAACTTAATAGCCTTTTTATTTACATAAGGCAATAACAACATGCTCTGACTACAACTAGAAAGCAAAATAGAAGCAAGTCTTAGCAACTGACAAACGCGTGTATGTATGCTAATTGGAAACTCCCCAACACATTTACATGACAAGACTTTTAAACAACCAATCAACATTTGACATTTTTATCATCTTCCTCTCCTTTATGATTATATTCAATTTTTCAAGAAAATAATAGTTATCCTTTGAAAAGGCAAAACACACAAGCTACTGAAAAACAGTATCTAAATTTTTGTAAAGTGCAAAAATACTAAGGTGGAGGGCAATTATTATATTCTGACAAATAAATATTCTGAACTTTTCAACATGACCCTTTGGCACTAGTGGTTTGGGAGTCCTGACATTCGCCTGGGGTCAGTTCATCATCAGGGTTGAGCTGCTTGGAAGCAGGAAGTTCAGTATCATTTATTACAAATTCAGTGCAACAGCATCTACATGTTTCACAGGCCATTAAACCTTGTTCAGAACACAGACCTCGGCCGAATGTCAGAGGAGCCCATCACATCATCGGAAGGTGGTCTTTCAGTGAGACTTTATCAAGTCCCTGTTTAATTTCCATATTTTACAATAGAACATATAAACCCTTTCTTTTAAAACAAAAAAAGGAAACTTAAAGCTTCATGGAATCATGCAAACTTTACACCCAGCACTTCCTTTGCCCTCTCAGCACACGAGGCTGTGCAGGTTCCGTGGTCGTGCAAGTGGAGTTGCCACCGTTCGGCACTTCCGGACACCGCGCTCTCCTCTCAGGCCACCAGAACACCACTGAAAGTGCTGGAGTTTTAGAAACAATTTGGAGAACCATCCCACCCCTTTAGAGGTAGAAAAACTGAGGCACAGAAAGGTTAAGAGACTCACCTATGTTTGCACAATTCAGGGAAAAACAGAGAAAAGAAGAAAAACATCCTCCTCCCTGGCTTATGCTCTGGGCTCTAGACTGCTTTTTAAACGCTTTGGGTACATGTGAAATAGACGTTTATTTACATGATCCTTGTTCTACAGAATATCAACTTTTTACTAGACAAGAGATTTTGATGTAACAAAGTTACATTTTCTTAAAATACAATTATTTCGTTGCATGTGAGGAATATGCATGAAAATAAATGAGTGGTGGTAATGGGCCAAATTCTCATCGCTATTCCTGTAATTCTGAACCTTTTCAAGTATACAATGGAGGTATAAGAATCTGGCCAGATGAGAAACATCACCTACAAGCTAAAGGACAGACCCTTAAAATTCATCACCAGTACAACTGTGAGGTGGAATGAGGAATACAAAAAATTGAGGTATTTTATATGATAAACTGCCTTGTGGTGTGACTGGTGCACAAACTGGTCTTTTCTTTCCAACTCACATTAACAGAATCTACCCATGAATGTGAGTAAAACCTACGAAAAATGAACATGGACATGTCCTTGGGAGGAAGGTCGAGGTTAAGGAGTCAATGATACATTTTTGGTCCCTGAGAAGGCGAAACACCAAGAGTCCATCCAATCCTGCCTGACGGGTGAACAACCCCCTTGGTGTCGACACCGTGAAAAGGAGAACTTCAGAACACGGAAGCTAATCCATGCAGTCATGAACAGACCTAAGCGGAAATGTTCTCTTTCTACTCTCCTACTTGGTGGCAGGAAGCCTAAGCCAGGATCGCGCAGGCATCGGCGTGGCGGGAGGGGCTCTGGGAACAATGGGAGCACTCTCTACCCTCTTCTGGGTGAGATGAGCAGCTAGAAAAAGAGGAATCTCCCGAGCAGACGGAAGGGCAGGAGCCTGTGGCCATCACACCTATTTCCACAGACCAGGTGTCTGTGCACACCTGGGAGACACTGCCTGTCCAAGTCTAGAACTGGCCTGTAGAAGTTGAACACAACATTTAAAAGGGCTGAGCCATCTAGGAAGAAGGAAAGACGACTGCACAAGTGAATAGTGCTCACTTCTCTCAGAAAACAGATGTGAAAACCAAAGAAGAACAAACGCCAACATATTACCGCTGGTATCAACTTCTGGAAAGACAACTGAGTACAGCAAATCGGCGTGAAGAGCGGGAATTGAAAGAACATTCCTCATCACTGAACAGAGAGCTGCGAAGTCTATTTCACTAACATTCTAACAGGAAAAGACCGCAATGAGAGCTGAGCAAGGCCCCCAGAACACCAGATTCCTCCCCCGACGTCCCCAGCATGGGCAAGGCCTCGCTCCAGGCAGCAGGGAAGGGCTGTCCTCCCCAGCACCTTCTCCACAGAGATGGCAAGGTCCTGCCAACCAGGAAGATGTTCCGGGGGCCTTCGTGGTGATGGGTTAGGATTAGAATCCTTAATCGGCCCTACCTTTGATCAATGAGCAGAACGGGAAGCAATCTTTAAAATGCAAATACCCAGAGAAGAAAACAAGGCATTGCCCAAGAGGAAGAGAGAAATGGCCTATTTCAGTATCTAGCAAGAGGAAATCTGCATGTTGTGATCAAAACCTTTGATTTTAGAGGATGCCTGAAAACAAGTATACAGTAAGCATCTTTTTTTTCAAAGAACGGTATGATAATTTGAAAATATTTCAAGTGCATTTACTTTTGGAAAGGCCACTAAGAAATCTATCCATGTTCTAGGCCTTCTCCCAAAGTTCTCACTTGGGGCTTTTTTTTTTGTTTGTTTCCAAATGAATGGTGAAAACATAGATTTTTAAAATAAATACGATTAAATCAGAAGTTATATGCTCTATATGAAATTTGAAAATTAGACTGTTCAACCACTGGTCATGTCATTTACTTTGAGGCTAGTGTCACGTGCTTGAAAAACAATGGATGATATGAACTTTGTTTCCCTGGAAGAAGAGCTATGTACCCTATTGAAGTATCGGCTGAACGGAGGTAACCCTGGAAGATTCCAGCTGTCCCAGGACCAGTCACTTTCAAGGGGAGAATAGCTATTAGTACTTTGAGATTTTACTTTAAAAACATTATAGAAAAGATCAGGAAAATACCAAGTCTCAGTATCAATGGTATACTTGTGGACTAAAGTGTAATAAGGTACACCAAGGGCTGCATTTAATTAAATCCCACATGAAAGCTGTGGTAAAACGTGGTAATTTTCATGTGATACATGAGCTTTCTCATGACATTTGTTAACCACATGTATTCGCTGAATAGCTCACGCTCCTGACCTAGGAAACCATTTTTATGCCTACAAGTACACTGACTGATGTACTATGTTTTCAGAAAGTTCAGTTCCATAACTTAAGGCCTGCATTCCCAAAAGCACTGATGATAAAAGGGGTAACGGACTTTGAACATTGTTAACCATCCATTAATAGAGGATTTAAAATTTCTAAAAATGATTTTGTTGCTGCTCTTAGTTCACAAATTACTGACAACCCATGATCATCACGTACACTTTTGATTTAAGGTGATTTCTCTCTGTATTAAACTAGTCTCATTTTATTTCACCTCTTTACTCAACACTTTAGGAAGCCATTCCTGGAGACTTCACTTTAGAAATGTTCCTTTTGCCTATAAAAACACATTTTTTTCTTACTGAAGAGTTTTAATCAGGTACTATTAAATGTTATGTTCTACTTTACCTAATTTACTTTGCCCAACCCCATCTTTCAGCCTGGCATTGTTCCCTGTGGTGAAACATTTGCATCACTTCATGCTTTGCTCCATTTGGAACACATGCATGGTTACGACAGACAGAAGAATGGCCTCTTTGATTCAAATACTGGCATAATCAATGGCTCTTTTGCATTTAGGACATATAATGAGAGTTTAGGTGAGGAACTCTAGGATGCTCTGCCATTGCAAACAACAAAGAGATGGCTATATTCATTGGTTTTTTTGCTAGAAATTCTTTTCAAAAGTGTTTGTTATGATTTTTGGAAACTAGCCTAACCTCAATTGTGTCCTTTAACTTATTCCTCTGTGACAGGGAACTCGATCCATGAGCTACTGAACAGGTACTCTCCCATTTAGCTTTATTATCAAGGTACAGAATTTATTTCCTCTGAAAGGCCATAAATGCTTCCTGATAAAGAATGTGGATTTATTTGATACTGAATCCCAGGTATATAGATTGAATACAAATAAAATAATATCTCATGCTACTTAAATCAACTGTCTTTAATTGAACAATAACCAAGTTAAACGGGTCACTTTGCTCTAATGTGTCTTTAGTCTTGACTATCTTCCAATGAATATACAGTCATGCACCATGTAAACATGTTTCTGTCAAAGACACACCACCTACATGACAGTGATCCTGTAGGATCGTAATACTGTAGTTTTACTGTACCCTTCCTATGTTTGGAAACACAAACACTCACCACTGTGTTACAATTGTGCACAGTATTCAGTAGAGTCACACGCTGTGCCATCCACTCCAGGTAGGTAAGAGGTGTCCCATCGAGGTTTGTGTAAGTGCACTCCCTGATGTTCACACAATACAGTCCACTTACATTGCATTTCTCAGAATGTTTTGCTGTCACTAAGTGACATGTGACTGCATTATTTCTAACTGCCGTGTACATTTGTAACTTGAATACTGAAATATTAAAGCATACTCAAGGAAGTTGCATTATTCTAACCTAAGAACATATACACAGTAATAGTTAATAATTCAAGTGATAAAGGCACTGAAATTGATTTTAGCTATTGAAAAGTCATCCTGCCGGTGGAACACTCCATCATGTTCATTAACTCTTCTCTACTATTTAAATGTCTTGGGTGGGGGTGAGGGCCGAAGAGTCAACTTGTCAGAGGATTAAAAACAATTTAATGTATATGCCTCTTACTCGGATGACATACTTGAATGTTATACATGCTTAATGCAAACTAAGACAACCACAGACACATTCACTGTAAACCAGAGTTCAAGACAACATCTCTCATTTCCAAAGTAATCTAAGTAAAAATCTCTCTGCTATCCTGTAACAACTAACCAGAAAGAGCCCATCTTTTTCTGTTTAATGTTAAAATGTTTTAAAAGAAGAGAATATTCATGAAAGCTTCCTGGTTAATGGAAATGAAAATGAGATTTGTCTCATATGAGACATGGTGCCAGGCAACCGTTGGTCACTTTTGGGCTGCAGAGGGCTGGCTGGGCCTCTGCTCTCTTGCTAAGCCCCACTCCCCCTGTCCACCAGACCACCTTTACCATCCAGTCAACTCCTAACACCAAGATCGAGGACCTCTTCTTCACATCCCATCAGGACTACCTCCAATGCCTGTTCCTCGAACCATCCAAGCCCCTACTGCAATCTAGTCTGTTTTCATATTAGATTTGTTCATCTCCCCAAGGTTGAAATTGAACTCTTTGAACACCTGTATAAGGACAATCCCCACGGAGACGGTCGTAAATCCACAGGCCATCCCCAAGAAGTCCACCAGGCCCACGTTGCTCCATTCCCGGAAGAGGATGGCCGAGGCCAGCAGGACCAGCGTGGTGAACACGACGTAGTAGATGGCCCCGAACACCGAGGAGTCGAAGCACTCCAGCGCCTTGTTGATGTACCTGAACTGGACGATGATGCTGCAGCCGAGCACGGCCAGAAGCACCAGGCACAGGCAGAGGGCTCTCTGGCTGGATGGGTTGTTGTGCAAGATGTCTTGGGCCGCCAGCCCAATGCCCTTGGTGGAAGGCACGGTGAAACTGCCCAGCAAAGAGCAGATGCTGATGTAGACCATGATGTTGGTGGGCCCGTGGGCTGGCGCGATCCAGAAGATGAGCAGCAGCAGCATGAGCAGCACGATGCACAGGTAGCCCACAAACACTGGAACACAGACGGCACGCAGTCAGCCGGCAGCCGGCCTCATGGCACACGCAGCCCAGTGGCCGGCAGGGGGGGTGACTGGGGCAGCACCCATGTACCCACCCGCCACCACTGTGGCACAGCCCTGGGGGGCAAGCACGTTCTGGCTTGAATTTACTAGATCCACCGATTTCCTTCCACAAAATTATTCCCCTCATTTTCACTGTTAAAACATTTATAGCTCCTGGTCGGCCGCAGTGTCCCACACCTGTAATCCCAGCATGTTGGGAGGCCAAGACAAGAGGATCACAAGGTCAAGAGATTGAGACAGCCGGGCGCGGAGGCTCAAGCCTGTAATCCCAGCACTTTGGGAGGCCGAGGCGGGTGGATCACGAGGTCAAGAGATCGAGACCATCCTGGTCAACATGGTGAAACCCCGTCTCTACTAAAAATACAAAACATTAGCTGGGCATGGTGGCGCGTGTCTGTAGTCCCAGCTACTCAGGAGGCTGAGGCAGGAGAATTGCCTGAACCCAGGAGGCGGAGGTTGCGGTGAGCCGAGATCGCCATTGAACTCCAGCCTGGGAAAAATGAGTGAAACTCCGTCTCAAAAAAAAAAAAAAAAAAAACTTACAGCTCCTAAATGTTTACATGGTCCTCTATCAGAACCATTCTCTTTGTTTTTTAGGTTTTTTCATTATTGTTTGAAATGAAGTTTCACTCTTGTTGCCCAGGCTGGAATGCAGTGGTGCAACCTCTGCTCACTGCAACCTCCGCCTCCCGGGTTCAAGCGATTCTCCTGCCTCAGCCTCCCAAGTAGCTGGGATTACAGGTGCCCGCCACCACGCCCAGCTAATTTTTGTATTTTTGGTAGAGATGGGGTTTCGACATGTTGGCCAGCCTGGTCTTGAACTCTTGACCTCAGCTGATTTGTCCTCCTCAGCCTCCCAAAGTGCTGGGATTATAGGCATGGGCCACTGCACCCAGCCTAGAACCATTCTCTTAACAATACATGTCAATGGAGACGTGCCGAGGTTTCAAAATAGCACCTGGGAATCCAGGGAGCAGGGGTAAGGCAGGGGACAGGATGGAGGACTTTAAGCTGTGGGGGGTGTTTTTGGGTGTTGCAATGATTGGGGGCTGCATCCAGTGGGCAGGGGCATGTGCAGACAGCCCCCCTCCCACCATCGAAAATCATCCCATTCTCCTCACAACTCCTGAATGTCTCCTTGGACTTGCAAGTGAAAAATACGTTTTTAATAATCAGAGCCTAGAACCTATTTTATGCATGAAACAAAGTAATTTTTGCATGGATTTAATATATGCTGGATTTTTCAGAAGTGCTACTTCCATGTAAATTGAGGGAGGCTTGTTCTTTCTTTGATCAAAACTTCATTAACAGTTATGCTCCATCTGAGGATCATTTTGTTGACAGCAAGACCTCAAGTATCTGAGTCAATAACAGGACACCGCACGTCAGTCTACATCTGCAGCTACCAGATTCTCAGTCATCCTCACAAGCTGTGGGGTCTGCCGGCTTCAACATGTCTTCTCTTATAGTTGGACCTGGGCATTTATATATTGAATTCCATGTTTTTGTTTGTTTGTTTGTTTTGTTTCTTTTTGAGACGGAGTTTCGCTCTTGTTACCCAGGCTGGAGTGCAATGGCGCGATCTCGGCTCACCGCAACCTCTGCCTCCTGGGTTCAGGCAATTCTCCTGCCTCAGCCTCCTGAGTAGCTGGGATTACAGGCATGCGCCACTATGCCCAGCTAATTTTTTGTATTTTTAGTAGAGACGGGGTTTCACCATGTTGACCAGGATGGTCTCGATCTCTTGACCTTGTGATCCACCCGCCTCGGCATCCCAAAGTGCTGGGATTACAGGCTTGAGCCACCGCGCCCGGCAGAATTCCATGTTTTATTTTGAAGTATTGTCTTGGTATTCCTCGTTTATATTATGGTTAGGGCTTTACACTGATGGTTTGAAATTATGTGTATAAAGAGGTTGTGTTTTCTATGAAATCTATTCTAAGATTACAAATGGACCTGAGAGGGCTGGCTACGAAAACCAGCAAGGGTGGACGTGCACATTGGGTTGTGGACATGCAAACCATGGTGTGAACATGCAAAGCAGGGTGTGTGGACATGAAAACCAGCAAGTGTGGACACGCAAACCAGCAAGCTGATGTGGAGGCAGTGCTGTGCTGGCACCTGCCTAAACATGGTAAGAAACATGGGGTGGTCTACTTAAAGTGAAATCTATACTTTAAGTCTGTTGTAATCATGTCGATAGCAGTTTTTAATGCATTTATCAAAAAAAAATAAATTATATCAAAAATATATACACAGAGCTATATGAAGAATCTAAAGATAAGAGATACCAGGTCTCTGTTCTCACAGAGCTTCATGCCGGAGGGAGTGAAGTGCTGTGGTGGAGAAAAGACCAGGCAGGGCAGGGCACACCAGGAAACGGATGTGGGGGGAGGCAGGTGGCAGTCAAACTTGAGAGGGTGGCCTGAGGGGAGCCACTGTGGGAAGAGCGCCCATGCACAGGGTCCCAGAAGAGAACCCAAAGGAATACCAGGCCACGGAGGCTCCCCACAGGGTGAGGATCAGGAGGGAGGGTGAGGGCAGAGGGCTAGCCTGTAAGCACAGCCAAGCAATACATGTGTCCAGAGAACAGAGATCTACAGTAACAGATCAGGGTGGGCACATGTTTCATCTGCCCCGCCAGGAAGCGTCAGATGTGAACATCTGGTTAAAAAAGTTGTGGCTCCTTGTGTAAACCTTCTTGGCAGCACTGTTAGAAAGGAATTACCTGGGTTGGTCAGCTTCTCTTCCAGCTCAGCCTGAGTCGTCACACTCTCAGACTTTGGGGAGTGGATGATCAGCACAACAGAGCCTGCACAGCTTAGCAGGCACCCCAACTTGCCCAAGATGTTGAGCTTTTCCTTCAGGAGATAGGAAGCTAAAATGGACCTTTATTGAAGAAAGAGAAATCATTAAAATTTAAACCAAACTACCTGACCTTTCTTCTAAGTGCAGATATTTTTATCTAGAAAAGCCATTTTCTTTTTCTTCTGTTTTTCCCTTTAAGAGACCAGATCTCACTCTATTGCCAAGACTGGAGTGCAATGGCACAATCATAGCTTACCACAAGCTTAAATTCCTGGGATCAAGTGGTCCTCCTGCCTCAGCCACTGAAGTAGCTGGGACTACAGATGCATGCCACCACACTCAGCTAATTTTTCAAAAATTTTGTGTAGAGGCTGGGCGCAGTGGCTCACACCTATAATTCCAGCACTTTGGGAGCCCAAGGCGGGTGGATCACCTGACGTCAGGAGTTCGAGACCAGCCTGACCAATATGGTAAAACCCCCTCTCAATCAATCAATCAATCAATTAATAAATTTGTGTAGGGACCGGGTCTCACTAAGTTGCCCAGGTAAATTTCAAACTCTTGGGCTCAAACGATCCTCCTGCCTTGGCCTCCCAAAGTCCTAGAATTATAGACATGAGTCACCACACCTGGCCAGGATTTTCATACCAATTCTGTATATAACCAGTACGTAGTTAATGATAGGCCTAACTTACAGCACTATATTACTATCTCAGCACATATAAAATATACCACAGCATAAAAAGTTTTGTGACTGACCAAAAGTAAAAAGTAATGCTTACTCTGCATGTAGGCGAGCATTTAAAAAAAAAAAAAGAAAAAAAAAAAGTAATGCTTACTTAAAAGGAACCAAACAAATATACTACTATCTACGCTATGTGGAAAAGTAGGGGACAAAACTGTCAAAATAATTATAAGTAATGCATGATAAAAACACTTAAATAAAATAGGTGAAAAATGCACAAACAAAAGAAAAAATTAAAACCCTAACAGTGACTGCAGTAGAGTGGGAGTAAGGGCGGTTATTTTCTCTAATACTGAAAACTTCTAAAAGGTGGCCACATAATTAATGCAAAAAAATGTATTCTTCAAAAACATCTATAATGTTCAGGCTTGTGATGTGTTTCTTCTCTTGCTTCTCTGTGTGATTATCAGTATACAATCTGAATTGGAACACTTGGGCCTCACTAAGTCATGGGACTGGTCCTTCTCACTTTACTCATGTCGGTGCTGAAGACGATCAGGAAACAGGAACATCTGGAGGAGGGCATCCCAGGCTCAGGTATGCCCTGGATTACTTCCTTTAATCCCTATTTTAAAGATAAAGAAACTTGAGCCTCAGAAAGGGTCAGCACTGAACTTAAGGCCACAAAGCTAACAAGAGATACAAGCACGGTCATGACCCCCAACAGGTCCTAAATGCCTTCTTTTCCCTTGAACCACACTTCTATCCTTATCTCTAGACAGCCCTGTTCTTTTTTTTTTTTTTTTTTTTTTTTTTGAGACAGAGTCTCGCATTGTAGCCTGGACTGGAGTGCAGTGGCGCAATCTCGGCTCATGGCAACCTCCGTCTCCCAGGTTCAAGCAATTCTCCTGCCTCAACCTCCCAAGTCACTGGGATTACAGGCACCCGCCACCACGTCCGACTTTTTATTTTTGTATTTTTTGTTTTAGTGAAGATGGGATTTCACTATGTTGGCCAGGCTGGTCTCAAACTCCTGACCTCGTGGTCCACCCACGTTGGCCTCCCAAAGTGCTGGGATTACAGGCGCGAGCCACTGTGTCTGGCCGACAGCCCCGTTCTTAAGAAGCTCCCAACAGTGCCGCTGGGGCAGTAAGTAACATTGCTGGAAGAACCAACAAGCGATACATGAATACATGACTACATGTTCAATAGAGGGGCTTCATTGAGTAGCTGCCCAGAAAAGTAGAAGCCAGAAACGCAGGGGGATCACAGTGCAAAAAGTGGGCCTGGAACTGGCCTGGGACAACGGGTGGACTGTGCCAAGGTGGGAAAGGGCTGCCATGCACCAAAGTGGAGAGTATGAACCAGGGGACCAAATCATCTCTTATTCCATTGTGGAATACCAGAAGACAGTGCTGTTTTCATTCACTCATTCATTCATTCATTGAGACGAAGTGTCACTCAGTCACCCACGCTGGAGTGCAGTGGTGCAATCTCAACTCACTTTATTTATTTATTTATTTTTTTGAGACGGAGTTTCGCTCTTGTTACCCAGGCTGGAGTGCAATGGCGCGATCTCGGCTCACCGCAACCTCCGCCTCCTGGGTTCAGGCAATTCTCCTGCCTCAGCCTCCTGAGTAGCTGGGATTACAGGCACGTGCCACCATGCCCAGCTAATTTTTTGTATTTTTAGTAGAGACGGGGTTTCACCATGTTGACCAGGATGGTCTCAATCTCTTGACCTCGTGATCCACCCGCCTCGACCTCCCAAAGTGCTGGGATTACAGGCTTGAGCCACCGCGCCCGGCCAATTTTTTGTATTTTTAGTAGGAACAGGGTTTCGCCATGTTGGGCAGGCAGTCTTAAACTCCTGATCTAATTTGCCCACCTTGGGCTCCCAAAGTGCTGGGATTATAGGCGTGAGCCACCGTGCCTGGCCTGAAGATCTATCTTGTTATAATTTTGCTTTTATTAACAGAAACATTTAAAGTGAAAAGTTCTTATATCTAAACTACACATTAAATACCAAAAAAAATCTTGGCTCTCACCCGAACGGCACTCCAAGGGCGCCCAGGGGAGTTACGAGGACCGTGGGGACTGCCGTGTACGCCAGGAAGTTTCCAATCTGGCCAACTGCCACTGTCAAGAAAATCACAAGGGTGCTGCTTGCAGTTACAGAGCTCTCTTTCAGCACTGATCAGAGTTGAGTCTTGCAAGGCTCGGCTCTGAAAGGGCTACTTCATTCCCATTACTTGAGAAGAATCACATCTGGGTGTTACCTGCATGTTTAAGGGGTGAGGGGGCAGACCGCACACCTTCACTGGTCCCATCAGTGAGGTGAGTAGGTTCAGCCCTCCACAGAAATGCAGAACCTGACTAGCAGTGACTGAAATGGGTGCAGCACTGAGCAGATTTCCACTCTCTCCACACACCCTTGCTCTCACACTAGTGGGGCAGAGCTTCCTGTGCACCCTCCAGTGGCCTGGGACTGCTGCAGCATAGGCGGCTGGCCACGGTGACAGGCCACTGGCATACCAAGAGGACACAGGGCTGCCGCACAGGACTGCCGCAGGGAGGCACCCAGACAGAGCCGAAAGAGGAGCTCTTCAAGGAACAGGACTGGCGTCGCCAAGCAGTGTTGTATTAAAAGACAAAAGTACACGATGTTTCCTTTTTTCCTTTTGAGACAGTCTCGCTCCGTCAACCAGACTGGAGGGCACTGTGGTGGTGCTGGCTCACTGTAGCCTCCACCTCCCAGTCTCAAGCAATCCTCCCACCTCAGCCTCCAAATCGCTGTGAAAACAGGCACACACCACCACACCCAGGTAATTTTTGTTTTTGCACAGACGGGGTTTCGCTGTGTTTCCCACGCTGGTCTCGAATTTCTGGGCCCAAACAATCCACCTGTTTCAGCCTCCCCAAGTGCTGGGATTATAGGCATGAGCCACCATGCCCCGCCATACACAGTATTTCTAAACTTCAAAGACAGTTGTCCGTTATAACACATTTAGAGTTCTGAACTCTAATAATTTTATCTTTACATTACAGCACATAACCTGATCTTTGAGTCATAAAACTGTCCTTTGTTAAACCAACTGCCCTGAGAAAAACAAGGCAGCCTAACATGGAATTTCACCAGACGCCAACAGCCCGACTACACGGGTAAGCAGGAGCTGTTTTAATTTCTTTGGGCTCATAACAGATTGGCCTGGACTGAATTCATGGCTAATCATGGGCAGCAGTGGCCTCCACCACTCCCAACTTGTCCTTCTGCATTCTTGTCCTGGGAGGAAGGGGAGCAGGGCGAGTTCCCTGGGAAGGCAGGGCCATCTAAACTAAAGACGTGTTCAGGGCCTGGGAGAGGCCATGTGAAACCTCCCACCCTAACCCAGCCACTCCAGCAGTGCCCAGAGCCATGATGGTGACACAGGCTACTTACTTGCGATTGTGCCAGCCCACCACACAATGTCTGTTAAATAGGAAGTACCTATAAAAGAATGAGATAAGAAAAAGTCAGGAAAGTGGGTTTTTACAAGCTACGTATGTCAGGAAGAGGTTTACAAGTGAGAAACTTTGATCTGAAGACTAAAACGGAAAAGAATGAACGTCACACTGTTTATTCACCCTAAAGAGAATCTTTCATCTAAAAATAGCAGCAGAAGAGACCACTCAAAGTGGCAAAGTCAAGATATTTTTTGCAACCAACACAGGCTGACCCAAATAAGGAAATGAAATCTTTATACATCTGGGATTACAGGCGTGAGCCACTGCCCCTGGCGTCCTAAGCAGTTTTTTAGGAGATTTTTTTTGTTGCTAACTGCAGATTACAGTAACTAATGCTTTTCTCAATTTTTTTTTTCCCGAAATGGAGTCTCACTCTGTCGGCCAGGTTGGAGTGAGTGACGCAAGCCTGGGTCACCGCAACCTCTGCCTTCCGGGTTCAAGCGATTCTCCTGCTTCTGCCTCCCAAGTAGCTGGGATTACACGTGTGCATGACCACTTGCGGCTAATTTTTATATTTTTAGTAGAAACAGGTTTTTGCTATATTGGCCAGGCTGGTCTTGACTTCCTGGCCTCAAGGGACCCGCCCACCTCGGCCTCCCAAAGTGCGGTGACTACAGTGTGGGTCACTTTGCCCAGTCATAGTAACAATTCTAATTGTTTTAATTCTCAGTAGTAAAACCACAGTTTGGTATAAGACATCCGGCCTGCTGGCCTCCTTAATGGAGCAGAAGAGCTACAGGTATCACAAAAAGTACTTACAAAATGAAATGGGGCTGGGCCTGGTGGCTCATCCCCATAATTCCAGCATTTTGGGAGGCTGAGGTAGAGGATCACTTGTGCCTAGGGGTCTGGGCAACATATCGAGACTCTGTCTCTACAAAAAATTTAAAAATTAGTGGGCACCAAGCCAGGTGGCTCATGCCTGTAATCCCAGCACTTTGGGAGGCTGAGGTGGGTGGATCACCTAAGGTCGGGTGTTCAAGACTAGCCTGGCCAACATAGTGAAACCCAGTCTCTACTAAAAATGCAAAAAGTAGCCAAGCGCAGTGGCAGGCACCTGTAATCCAGTGTAGGGGACAAGAACGAGACTTCGTCTCAAAAAA